CAGCAGGGATGAGGGGCACAGCAGGGATGAGGGGGCACAGCAGGGATCGGGGGGCACAGCAGGGATCGGGGGGCACAGCAGGGATCGGGGGGCACAGCAGGGATCAGGGGCACAGCAGGGATCAGGGGCACAGCAGGGATCAGCGCTGCCCTTGGCACGGCCCCGCCATCTCCCACCCCCTCTGACACCCCCCTCCCACCACGGGGCCACGGGAAATGGAAACACTTCTCAATATTGTCAGCTCCCCGTTCAGTGCACCTGCACTGCCACGGCTTTACTCCTAAAATGCACCACCTGGAGGGCAGGAATGCTGTGGGGATTGTAGGAAGTGAAGTGCAAAGAACTGGGTGAACTTCTCTGGTGGAACAAGCAGCTCGTCCCGTTCTTACTGGGCAGAAATTCCTGGCTGGGAGGGTGGGGAGGTCCTGGTACAGGTTGCCCAGAGAAGCTGTGGCTGCCCCTGGATCCCTGGAAGTGTCCAAGGCCAGGTTGGACGGGGCTTGGAGCAACCTGGGCTGGTGGAAGGTGTCCCTGCCCGTGGCACTGGATGATCTTTAAGGTCCCTGCCAGCCCAAATGACCTGTCACAGCAACAGTTGGTGAGCTGTGGCTCAGAGGCTCCTTGGTGCAAAGGGCCAGGACAGCCTCAGACCCCACAAGAGCTCGGGAGGAACCTTTTAGCCACCCTCTTCCCTCCGGGCAGCCCTGCCTGTTTGAGGTGCAGGAGGGGAACCCAGGGCTGTCTGTGCAGCACAGGGCCGTGTGTGGGTGCGGGGGGTTTAGGAACAGGCTGCACTGCACACACCAGGCCGGCTCGGGCTTCAGCCACAAACCTCCTCTGTGGTGCCTGAGGGAAAAGACGCCGAGCTGGGGGTGAGGAACCCTCCCCCTGCCCCAGGGCCGGCCCTGCCCTCACCTTGAGCTTGTGCATGGTGCCCTCACCTTGAGCGTGTGCATGGTGCCCCCCCGGAAGGCCACGGGGGACAGCAGGGTGGGGGGCAGCCCCGCCTGCGGCCCCGCCACGGCCACCAGGCTGCGGCAGTTGATGAGCAGGTTGAGCAGGGTCAGCGTGTCCGAGCCCCTCACCAGCGCCAGCGACTCGGGCCTGTGATCCACCTGCACCTCCTGCTTCTCCTTGCGCCTGGGAACGGGAGTCATGGGAAAACCACGGGAACGTGGGAAATATCCGTGTGCAAAGGCAGAGCTGGAGAAGCAGAGCCCCCCTGCCCCCTCTGATCAATCATAGAATCACAGAATCACAGAATCAGCTGGGTTGGAAGGGACCTCCGAGATCATCAAGTCCAACCCTTGATCCAACCCCGCCGTGGTTCCCAGCCCATGGCACTGATGCCACATCCAGTCTGTTCTTAAAAACCTCCAGGGATGGAGAATCCACCACTTCCCTGGGCAGCCCATTCCAATGGCTGAGCACCCTCTCTGCAGAGAAATTCTTCCTAATCTCCAACCTAAACCTCCCCTGGCACAGCTGAAGACCCTGAGCCCTCTTGTCTTGCTGAGAGTTGCCTGGGAAAAGAGACCAACCCCCCCCGGCTCCCCCCTCCTGTCAGGGAGTTGCAGAGAGTGAGGAGGTCTCCCCTGAGCCTCCTCTTCTCCAGGCTGAACAGCCCCAGCTCCCTCAGCCTCTCCTCACAGCACTTGTGCTCCAGTCCCTTCCCCAGCCTCGTTGCTCTCCTCTGGACCTGCTCCAGCCCCTCAATGTCCTTCCTGAGCTGAGGGCCCAGAACTGGACACAGCACTCCAGGGGTGGCCTCACCAGCGCTGAGTCCAGGGGAAGAATCACATCCTTGGGCCTGTTGGCCACACTGTTCCTGAGCCAGGCCAGGATCCATTGGCCTTCTTGGCCACCTGGGCACACTCTGGCTCATGTTCAGCTTCTTGTCAATCCAATTGAGTCCTTCAAGCAAACGGCAAAACCCAAAAGCCAAACCCCACCAAGTTTGCACTGACTTGTTCTTTGAATATTAAGCAGCATCTTAATCCTGGCTTCAGATTCCTAGAAATTCTTGTAAAGAAACTCAAGACATGCACAGTCTCTTAGCATGCAGGAACAAGAGGACTCATATTTGGAAAACAGCTCTCAAAAGCTCTGAGAGAACTCAGATCTGTACCACAGCACTGGAACAGCTGCAGGGTTTCCTGGTGTCGCACCTCTGGAAGTGCAAAGGAAGGATACAGTTGGATAGAAATAGTGTCTGGTTTCTTCACCTCGTCTTGGACTCCCATCTCCTCGAGCCAAGAGAAACTTTCCTCATCATCATCATCGCTCAGAGCTGGTTCCCTGGACAGCACAGGATCAGTGTCAGCAGGGCAGCACCTCCGAGGAGGGTTTTCCAAACGGGCTGTGCAGGAGCCTGGAGACGCCCTTGAATTCCAGCACTGCACAGGGCTGTTACTTACTCTGCATCCTCTGCACTGCTGCCCCCTCTGAGGCCGTCAGCCACTTCTGTTCCCAAATCCTCCTCGGAGCTTTTCTGTCTCCTGGCTCTTTCTTCTACGAAAGGTAAGGAGAACTCTATGCCTGGAGCAGAGGAGAGAGAGCAGTGAGCGGTTCTGTCGCACGGCCCCTGCCCTTTGTGAGCACTGCCCGTGCCAGCAGGGCCGGCTGCACTTGCCTTCGCTCCGGAGGGCCTCCCTGAAGCCGCGGGTGGTGGGGGCGATGGCGGCGCTGGGCACGGCGCTGCCCCCCAGCCCCGCGGCGCGGAACAGCACCGTGAACTGCGGGCAGCACACGTAGAAGTAGGGACAGAGCCCCGCCTTGAGCAGCCGGTACAGCGAGGAGAAGCTCACACACCTGGGAACGAGCAGCAACAGCCCTCACAGCACGGGCATTCCTTGGCTGCTGACACTGCACGGGAGCTTGGGACAACGGGTGGAGGGACAGGACAACAGGGAATGGCTTCCCACTGCCAGAGGGCAGGGATAGATGGGATATTGGGAAGGAATCCTTCCCTGTGAGGGTGGGGAGGCCCTGGCCCAGGTTGCCCAGAGAAGCTGTGGCTGCCCCTGGATCCCTGGAAGTGTCCAAGGCCAGGTTGGACGGGGCTTGGAGCAACCTGGGCTGGTGGAAGGTGTCCCTGCCCATGGCAGGGGGTGGAATGAGAAGATCCTTAAAATCCCTCCCATCCCAAACCATCCTGTGATTCTGTGATTAATTAAAAATCCCATTGTCTTAATCTTACCAAATACATGAATAATTTGGTTCCACTCACCAGTCACTCCTGAGCACTTGCTGCAGGGCCTCATCCTGTGCCCAAGGACAAGCCTTTCCAGCTATTTTCCTGTCTGCCCCAATCCGAGGGAACAGCGGCAGCCACGGCAGCGAAGGGTGGAGCCAGTAAACGAGGCTCTGCTGGAAGGCACAGCGCAGCTCTGTGGACAGCTGGGGTTCCTGGAGATCCAAGAGAGTTTAAGGAGGACAGGAAAGCTGCCAGACACAAAACTGGAGCTCCAGCCACCCTCCCAGCTCTCACCTGCACACTCGGGGGCAAGGTGATTTCTGTAGCTCTACAGTGCTGAGCAAGTCCCTGAGCTTCCTCTTGTGCTTTTAGGTGTTCTGTCCAGGTGAAAGGTTGGGAAGACATGAATAGAATCCGTGTTTTAATACTCCAGTCTGCAGGGAATTCCTGTCTTGGTGAGGAGGGAACTTTGGGTACAGCAGTAGGTAAATGAAGGTCCTGTCCAAACAGAGACAGCATCAGTTCAGTCACAGAAAATTAAACCTGTTCACAAGTGAAACCAAAGGCACACTTTAGACTCAGCTGATTATTTCAGTCAATATCTGGTTCTAATAGAAATAACCCATTCTATCGCTTATAAAACCACACAAGAGGGTTTTCACTCACAGGAGTCTTTCCAGCAGTCATAAACAGGAACAGATCAAAGGACAAATGATTAAAAAAAAATGAGAAAACAGTTAAAATCTCCCCAGCATTGTGTGCTGTTTCATACCTTGGTTAGGGTGAGGATGTCGGCTCCTCCCGCGGGCTCTGCTCTCCCGGGGGGCTTCTCTTCACAGGCAGGCTCTAAAAACTGAATGGAACAGCAGCGTAAGGCCCAAAGGAGCAAAGGAAGCACCGATCATTTTAAAAGGGCCGATCATTTTAAAAAATGCCCCGGCAGTGACATTTCACGGCTGACCCCAAGCACAGCCAGGCTGCAAACACCCACCCCCGGGGCGAGCACAAGATCCCCACACGGTGCTGAGCAGGAGTCCAGCACTGACTTGTATGAGGCCGGGACGAGTCCCGGGCTGGGTTTAAAGGGGGCTCGGAGATGAGCGCGATGTCTGAGGGCTGAGGGCTGAGAGCGCGGGCTGAGGGCGAGGGCTGATGGCGACGGCGCTAAAGGGCGAGGGCGCCGAGTCCCCTCCCCGCGTCTCCCCTCGCCTCTCCGGCGCCACGCGGAGAGCCCCCGGTGCCGGGGCTCGGTCCCACCTGCCAGAAGGGCGCTGCCGAAGGATCCCCGCCCGCCGGGGCCGGGGACTGAGTGGCCGCCGCCCGCCGAGGCGCGTTGTTGTTCAGGCTGGAGAAGGGGTTGCGGCGGGCGGGCGCGGAGGGGCCCCGCGGGGCCGGGGCGGCGGCGGCAGCGGCGGCGGCGGGTTCGCTCCTCTGCCGGCGTTTTCGCTTCAGCCGCAGCATCGCCGGCGGCCTCTGGAAGCCGGGAGGGTCCCCGGGCTCGGCGGGGGCGGCCATGGCCGAGCGCAGCCCGCAGCACCCGCGGGCCCGGCCCGGCGCCAAAGGCCGCCCGCTCCGCCCCGGGGCGGCGCTCAGGGAGCGGCGCCGCCATCGCTGCGCCCTCAGCGCTCTGAGGGGAGAGCGGCTCCCGCCGGCCCCGCTCCGGCCGGGGCACAGACAGATAAAGGGGCAGGGAACTGCCGCTCGGGAACATCAGTGGAGTTCCGTTCGGAAACCAGCCACAAGTGCTGTGGGCGGGTGAGTCAAAGTCACCACACGGCTGCACCAGCGCGAAAATCACCTGTGGAGACACCGCGGCCTGGTCCCGGCTGTGCGACGTGTGGGACTGAACACACGGGGTTTAGTCTTTTATCCCAAATACACTAAAACCCAGGGGGTTTTATCCCGGATAAACTAGGCTTTTAGTCTCTTTGGGATAGAGGTCTAGTTTTGGTCACAGCAGTCTGTGGTACATGGGGTTCAAAAGGCATAATACATGATAAAAAAAAAAATAATAAATTACTGCTGATTAATTTAAGTTGCTGGTCGGGTTTATGAAATTTGCCACAGGGCAAAAATTCCCAGTGGGGATACCGGGACCAGCTGGGTGAGAGGTGCCACTGAACACACGGGGTTTAGTCTCTTTGGGATAAAACCCCCTGGTTCTTTAGTCTATTTGCAATAGAAACTAGTTCTGATTGCACTAGTCTGTTGTACCTGGGGTTCAAAATGGACAATAAATAATAAAAATAAATGATTGTAAATACATGTGGTTCAAAAGGCATAAAGAGGTACTTAGGATTAACATATCCACTGGCAACAGATTTAATAAAAGAAAAACTATACTACATTAAAAAAAAAAATCTTTCTTTGGCAGTCTTGTCAATGGTTGTTCTTGTTTTTTTTTAAACTTTTTAATTTCTTGTTTCCTGTGGTCTGCTTTATCTTGCAAACATTTAGGCTCAAATGAGCAACATCAGATAAAAATGAACAGTTGGGTACAAGGTTTCAGAATAACTGTGGACCTGAGGGAGGGTTCACACACTTTAGACGTGTGTACACTCGTGCATGACAGCATCGCTTCTTTTCAGGGCTGCATTACATCACATGAGCAGTAAAATCAGATTTCCTCATGTTTTCATACACTTCCCGTGCATCATTTACCAGGAACCTGCTCCAAATCCAGTGAGTGACAGAAGACAGATTAATTGTGGTTCCAGATGATTTTTTTTCCCCTTTAATTTCTTACGGTTGAAACCCATCAGCAGCTGGGTTTGCCTGTAGATGTTACTGATGTTTGTAACTGGGGCAGGGCAGACAAGATCTGTAGGTCAAGGCTGCTTCTTTGGAAACCTGATGGGAACATTCTGCTCATGTAGATTAAAAAAACCCTAAAGTCACAAGAGCTTCGAGACCATTTGTGCTGAGGTACAAAGGATGTTTAAATTCTGCTTACAGAACTGTTTGAAAGTGTACACTGATTCACTCCACAAATATATTACATTTCTTTGTCTCCCACAGGCTCAGAAATCAGGAGATTGCCTGTCAGAACTGGATGACTTGTCTTTTTCTGGCCTGATTCTTCTGAACAATTTCCATAGAAACTTTGGCCTCGTACAGTGGGATTGGTTCATCCAGCTGAGGCCTAAAGGGAAAGAGTAAAAGTGTCTGCTGAGCACACTCAGATCAACAGGGATGTCACAGGACAGACTTTACTTTCACTGTGTAAACCTCACTCCTTAAACAAAATAGAAGTTTTATAGCTTTGCTTGAGTGCACAGGAGGAGGGAAAAGCCCTAAAAGCAAACAGGAAACAGAATTTAATAAAAGTTTATCCTTAGAGGGGGGAAAAAAAGGGGTGGTGGTGAGGGTTTTGCTCAACAGCAACAGTTATCCTGCTTTGAGGGAAGGGATCCCACCTCATTAGGGGAGTGTTCCTATCTCCTGAAGCTCTTTTCAGGAGTGTTAGAGCTGGCAAGAGTTTTCTGCTTCTAATGCTGAAGTAAAAAAACCCACAAACCCCCTGAGATCTCTCACCTGAAAACACCACTTGACAATTTCTCCATGACATCTTCTAGGATGGGTATCCAAGGGGAGTGTCAAGGAACAACAGAGCTGGAGAGAAATGTCTAAATAATCCCATTTGCTGGTCAGAGCCCTGTACTGATACAAGCCCAGCAGGATCCAGGCAAAAGGAAAATGAATCTCAATTCCAATCTCTAGATCAGACTTTTGCACTTGTTTCTATATGAGAGACTTTTCCTGCAATAGGATGAAGAACTTAAATATGGAATATTTCAATTCTTTCAATATAAAAATATTCAGTATGAAATACAAGTGCAGCCTGCACTAGTACAAAATTAATCAGTTATTAGTTAATTAATCAATGGCATTTTCTGTGCAGGATGAAGAGGGCAGACTTTGGGACCAGACAACTGCCCTGACTATTCATACAGGCACCCAAAATAAATCAAAATACAACTGGGAACATAGGAGAGCCCGGGAATTCTTGGAGCAGAGCTGCCATCTGTGAGTTGATGAGTAACATCCAGGACAGCACAACAGATGGGGCTGTATTTAGGCTTTGTAGGAAATTCAAAAAATAAGGTTCATCCTTCATTTTAAGAGCAATCTGGTTGTTATTTGAAACTCAAGTCCTTTAAAAAGCCATCAACTTGTGATTTCTTCAGACACTAAATGCCAGGTGCTCAGGAATTTCACAAGACACACAGGTCCTTAAATCCAAAACCACACAAACCTTCCAGGACTGGCAATGTGATGCTCAGGGAGCTCAGTCCAGCTGCTCCAGCCCAAATTTAGAAGGCATTCCTTTTCCCATCATTCCTTTTCCCATCATTCCTTTTCCCACACCCATATCTTCCCTCCATGCATTCTGGGTACATTAACAAATAAGTACATTTTATGTACATTGCAAATAAGGGAATGTTAACAAGCCAAAATATTTGCACTTCTGCAGTGACCCCGATTGCATTGAGTGACCCTGATTGCATCTAATGCCCAAAAGAACAACACAAATCATTCCAAAGTTTCACTTGCATAATATAAAAAAACTTAGAGAATTAAATCTTCAACTAATTGCTTCAAATTTGAACCAAAATATTGCCTTTTTTGTCCCAGAAAAGGTGTTTTCTATTGCAGCAGAGCTTGTACAGACATTTTCAAGGCCAGAATTCCAAGTGCCCCCCAAAAGGATATAGAGATACTTCCCTTGCTGCACATTGGACAAGTTCCATATCTCATCGTTCAGGAAGGACACTGTGGCTCCTTTGAGGAACAAGGAATGGCTGTCTGGAGGATCCAGCTTAAAGCAAATGGAAGAGAAATGTTATTTAGTTACATTTTCCCATAAAAAAATAAAGGTTGGATGGTTATTTATACAGATGGTTAAAACAAAGAAAAAAAATCACCCCTTACCCATTCTTAAAACTGAGGAAACTGGTAATATTTACAGGTTTAAGTGATAGTTTTCTGTATATATATCTATATATTCTGTGTACAAGCTTCTTGCTGCCACAGGTATCTTTACCTGAAGGTTTTTTTCTGTTGTTATCCAGTGTCCCCCAACCCCAAGCAGAGTGATGATGTCGTGCTTGTGAGGCAGCAGCTGGGATTTTGAAGCTGATTCATCTTCAGCACTATATAATTTCACTGGGGAGGAAGAATAAATTCATTTGAGCTCAGCAAAGGAGAATTTAGAACATCCAATATATATCTATTTCCACACATTTCAGTGGAACTCCAAGAAGTTCTTCAGTTATTTCAGCTGGAAATAGTTGAAAACTCTGAATTTCCTATTTTATTTGTACTATGAATATTTTTTATGCTTTATATACTTTATATACTTTATTCAGAGTCATATCTTATATGACTGACTAGTAACTGCAGAGTTTTCAACCATTAGAGTTGGTTCAGAGTACAGGTTGCCAGTGCTGGCAATTTGGGGTAATTTTTGTATTAAAACGAGGCAGCAGAAACAGTGATGTCACAGCTCTACCCTTTGAACACATTTTTTTATTTTCACTTCTAAACAGAGGAAGATTTCATCTGAATTCAGCAGCTTCCACTAGAGGGTGACACAAGGAGGGCTATGGAATAAAGATAAAACTAGCTAAAGAATAAAAGCCCATGAAGTGGTGCAGCTTCCAGCCATATCCCTTGCCAATAATGCTGGAAAGGCCAAGCCAGGGGTGGTGTGAGGAGCAGCTTTCCTGCAGGGAATACCTCCAGCATCCAGCACAATGTCCATTCTCAGCCCTCCTTCCACAGGGAATAAATACCTCCAGCATCCAGCACAATGTCCATTCTCAGCCCTCCTTCCACAGGGAATAAATACCTCCAGCACCCAGCACAATGTCCATTCCCAGCCTTCCCACAGGGAATAAATACCTCCAGCATCCAGCACAATGTCCACTCCCAGCCCTCCTGTCTCCTCCAGGCAGCTCTCAGCCACGTCTATCTTGCCGTGGGACACGTCGATCACCCGGGCTGGAAGAGGGGGACAGAGGGGTAACTCCAGGGGAAATGCAGAGTTTACACTCCCAGTTCAACAGGAGCCTTCTGGGCTCTCCAAAAAAAAGTCAAAACCCCTGCCCATTGTTCTTTTCCCTTTTACAACACAGTGCAAAATCCACCCCAAAAATAGGAATGCAGAAGTGAGACTCACAAATCTGTTGGGCCCAAAAGGACAACACGTGGTACTCTAGGAATCAGAAATCCTTCTCTAAGTTCATTCTTTGCTATTCTTCTTGGCCCTTCAAAACTACCAAGTCCTGGAGTGCCCAACTGTGTTACTGAAGCCAAAGAGTGGCCAAAAGATAAGGAGGCTTTTTATTTCACGTTATCTCTGGAGCAACCACAGCAGCAAAGCTTTGGGTGAGCTCTCCCAGCACAGCTTCCCTCACCCTACAGAACTGATCTCACAGCAGGGATCAACTTACACCCCATGGCTGCCTGATGGTTTTAACCTGGAAATGACTCTCCAGGTCATTAATTAAAGAGAACATGTGGTCACAGTGTAATAAAGATGGCATATTAATTAATTAATTAATGGCAGTCACATTCCCCATGTGCAAACAAAACCCCATAATTTCCTTCTCAGTTTCTTAAAAGGTCGTTCTTATCACGGCAATTTGACAAGGTATAAAACCTCTGCAAATACTTTCACTTTGTGAGAACAATTCTGATTTTGTGGACCCAAAGCCTGACTATGACAAAGAAAGGCCAGAGTTTCACTGGTTTGACTGTTTTCTGATTTCTGCTTAGTTTTGTTCCTTAACTCAGCACAACGGTTCAAACTCCACTTATCAGAATCCTGGTCAAGTTCCTTCCTAAGGAATGCTGGAAAAATTTCACTCCACTGTGGCAAAGGCTGAGAACAAACTAATATAATATTTCATAATCCTTTGTAAATTATACATTTCTCACAAAGCATTTGAAAATCAGTTCAGTTTCTCCTTCTGTGACCTGCACAACTTCCAAAGTCTCGTTATTCTCTCTGGCAAAACTGCAGTTTCTCTCTTCCATCACCTCTGGGAGAAGCAGAAGTCCCAGGATTTCCCAGCTTCTCCCAGGGTTTGCTCCCCCCCAGGAAGTTTAAAAGGTGCCACCCAAAGGATGTGCTGGGGGTTTATTGACCGTGCTCAGGGGAGCCAGAAAGGCCCCCCCTGAAAGCCCAATGTTGGTGTTACAGAAAAAAAAAAATCCCACAAATCAAACTAAAAAAAGAAAAATGGGGTACCACAGGGAACAGAAGAAATATCTGTGTATGTATAGATTCTTTTTTTCTTGTGTTTCCAAAAGGAACTCATCACATTATTAATGGAATATTCTGTCTCGAGTCTCAAACACGGGGCATTAAAATGTCAAATATAGTTATAATCCCCTCCTTCATCTTATTATTACATTTACTGCAGAGATTACTGAAGACATAAAAAGCCCCATCCTGTTGGTCTAAATACAAATCCTTAAACATTACCAGGAACTTCTACTTCAGGCACCGGGATCAGATTTATTAAAAACAAACCCCAGAAGCCCAAACACAAACCCTGAGGCTTTTTGCTTTCACACTCAAACTGTTTCTCTCTTTAAAGCTGTACCCAAGTTCTATTTCTTTATTTGAAGTTGCAATTATAATTCCCTCCCCCCCAACCATTCCATGAAGCAGCTTGTTATGCCCAACACAAACTGCTGCTCACTGAAAACTGAGAGACTCTTGCTAAAAAACTCCCAAAAAACCCACCAAACGAGCACAAAACTGAAAAATTTCCACCCACGGACATGAGGAGCCACTTAGAGCTTGGGTTACTTAGAGCCTTTATTTGATATTAACATTAAAACTTAAAACTGCTGAACTTCAACTGAACTCAAAGCTGCTGCAAAAAGCAGCTCTGCCAGAGTCAGACTGGAATGTGCTGGCAGGGCTGGGAGAATAAAATTGCCAAGTCCTTCCTTACCTCATGAATTTTTCATATCATTAGCAAAATATACCCATAAAATATTGCAAAGGGAAGATTTAGGTGTTTTGTCTCTGACCCTCGTGTAACAAACCTCTGCACATCACCAGCATTCCCAAAAATCCTTCAGTTCTGATGTCTGTCATGTCTATGGGTACAGTAAAAGAGGCTTCTGGAACAAGGGAAAATAGGGCTTTTTTGGCAAGTTGCAAAAAAATAGAGGTAATATAAATATAAATAAAAACTCCAGAGAAATGAGTCTGCCAGGTCCTGCATTCCCAACAAAAGCTTTGCAGTTCCCTGTGGAGGATCATTCAGGTCAGGCAGCAGAAATGCTCTTGTGTAACACCAGGCTCTGCTTCCTGCAGCATTCTGAGCCTCCAGAGCCTCTGGAAGAGCTCCCTGGAAACCCCCCCCAGCCCTGCAGATGTGTGGAGGGCACACTGGGCTGTCTGTGCTCCCGGGAGCCGGCAGGGGATGGAATTTGGCAGGAACTCCGTGTCTGGGGAGCAGCTCCAGCTCCTTTGAGCCCTGTGCTCACACAGTGTCCCCGAGGCAGTGCCCTGTGCACCTGCAGAGCACCAGTGCCCGGGCTGGGGAGGCACTGGGAGCCACACAGAGATGGGAAAACTGCTCCAGTTCTCTGCTTGGGAAGCCAGGATTGCTGACAGCAATGGGGGGGGAGCCCAGGGACTGAACTCTGTTAATGGCATCTCACCCCAACCCCTGCATGTTTGGGTTGATGCACATTTGATAACTGGCTACCCAAGGCACTTTTTACAGCTGCTTTTCTGTAAACTTCCTTGGATGCCAACAAAAATCATCCACTGACAACTAAACATGGTGATTGAACCACAGCACCCTGTATTTTGGGGAGGAAACAGGCACCACTTCTAACCTGTGTTCACTGCCCTGCAATCCCACCAGACCTGGCAGTGCCATCCTTTCCTTTAAAACTGTCTGAACAAAGAGATATTCCACTTTCCTCCACAATGCAACACCAAAATAAGAACAAGTTTGATCAGAAAAGACTCCAGGAGTATTTTCCTGTAGTCCAAGAGGCACCATTACTTATCAGGGAATAAAACCCCAAAACTGAGGTATCAAAGAGAAGAAGTCAGGGAATAACACAAGGATTGTGTGCAAGGCCAAGCTCGTTTAGAAAAGAGGAAAAGGCAGAACCTGGAGTGTCCAGATGTGACAGCACCTGAGACTGAGCTCAGCACAGCCTGGGAAGGTACTCCTGGGAGGAAAGTGGGGCTGAGGAGCACTGGATGTCAGGTCTGTGGTCACATCTGGCCTCTGGCTCAGGGACCTGGATCCCAAACTGGGATCCTGCTGAGTTAGGAACCCTTCCTTCTGCTCACAGCAACCACTGTGTCAAATGAAAAGCCTTCTTGAGCATTTGGCCTAAAAACAGCACTCGAGCACTACTGGGAAGCCCTGACAGTCATTACAATTTAAATGGAGAATAAAAATGCCAAAAAAGACACCTAAACCAGCAACTAAACACCTGTGGAGTACAGAATTAACTTGAGAACTAATTAATTAGACTATTTACCAATTTTCATTTCAGTTTTCAGCTACTGAAATGAGTCTCTAGACCAGACAGAAAAAAAAACTATTTTGAGACATCGTTTAGGATAAACTGAAGGATCAAACTTACCCACAGGAGGCCTGAGCCTCTCCAGGAACTGCTTGTCCTCCAGGCTGTGGGCAGTGCAAATGACTTTGGCCCCTCTGTGCTGGGCCAGCTGAACCACGATGGTGCCGAACGGCTGCAGGGGGGAAAAGGAGATTAACTCATTCATTCATTCATTTATTTACCTACAGCCACAATTTGATGCCTTCTAAGAACAATGAGATCACAAAGGCCATTCAGGAGAAGTCAGGGGAGTATCCAGAAATGAACTTACTCCTGCAACCAAGAACTGAAGATTCACAGATCTGCTTCTGTCCTACGTGAGGCCAAAAAAGGTCTTTTCAGTGACTAGGGAAGCTCTGAGCAAACTTTCAGTCATTAACTGGTTCTCTTCTTCAGCAAAATAGCTCAGATTCTACTTTAATTGCCACAACCACCTCCCCTGCAATCGGAACTCGGAGCTTTGGGACCTGCTGGAGGAAGAAATGCTCCAAGGAAAAGCCTCAGCCGTGTTTCCATTACAGGACCTTGGCTGAGGAAGCTCCATTAGCAATAAGGACTGCAGGGATGCAAATCAAACTATTTATACCCAAGGAGAGCTAAAAAGCAGAGGTGGGAAAGGAGTAAAAAATAAGGCATTTTCCTGAAGTTATATCTGAGGGCTCAGGGTAAAACTGTGTCACTGTACAACAGCAGAAAACCCTCCCCACCCAGCAGGCAGGATGGAACTCCTGGCTCAGGATCTGATGTGGGAAAGCCACGAATCCATTCAGTTAAGGGCACTGGCAGCAGTGAGGCAGAAGCCTTGGGAAGTGCAGGTGCCCGAAATCCCGAGGCTCTGCTGCTCAGCCAGTTACTCCCAGCAGAGGGATGTGATGTCCCTGCAGTCACTGCCCTGTTGGTACCTACACTGGCTCCATCCAGCACAAGCACAGTTGTCCCAGGAGAGGCCTGGGCCAGGTAGTGCAGGGCTGTGTAGGCCCGGAGCCCATCGCGCACCGTCCCGGCTGCTGCAGCCCAGCAAACCTTCTCTGGCTTCTGCACTGGGGGGAAACACACAAAGAAACAATCAAAACACCCCAAACCACCCAGCAAACCTTCTCTGGCTTCTGCACTGGGGGAAACACACAAACAATCAATCAAAACACCCCAAAACCACCCAGCAAACCTTCTCTGGCTTCTGCACTGGGGGGAGAACACACAAACAAACAATCAAAACACCCCAAAACCACCCAGGAAACCCCTGCCCTGTCCCAGCTGCTCAACAAACAATCAAAACACAGCAAAAGTGCCCAAGAAACCCCTGCCCTGTCCCAGCTGCTCAGGAGGGTTCCAGCTGCAAACAGGGCAATGTCAACAACGTTTGTTTCCCTCTCAGATATTTTAAAAAAACAAGGAGAGGATATTTTACCATATTTTACCCAATAAAAGCAGGGATTTAATTTTGGTATAACCAAGTTTAAAGGGGTCACCTCCTAACTACACAGCTGGAATTCATGGACACTCACAGAAACACAATATAAACTGATTTACAGTCACAGAGTTCCAGAGTGGTTTAGGTTGGGAGAGACCTTAAAGATCATCCATCCCACCCCCTGCCATGGGCAGGGACACCTTCCACCAGCCCAGGTTGCTCCAAGTTTATCCAACCTGGCCTTGGACACTTCCAGGGATCCAGGGGCAGTCACAGCTTCTCTGGGCAGAACAAAATTTGAGCAGAAGAGCAGTTTAGTCCATGACAAACTGTTGGGAGAAGCACAGACGCTCCCAAATTTAGTATCCTACTCATTAAAGCAAACTATGGCCAGAAAGGGAAAACTGGAAATTCACAATAATTGAAGAGAATGTTTCCAAACAAGGCTTTCCCTAATCCCCATTCCCTGAAAATTCCTTTCTCCAGCTTCTAGTCTGTTCACTTCATCCCATCTGTTAATCTGTGATATTCATGGTCTGAGTCAAAGTGAGGAAAAGCAAATTTCTCCTCAGTAAATTTTGTGACAGGTGAGGAAAAAGTGTAATAATAATGAAGCAAAAAAAGGGAAGTTAGAGGGAAAGAAAAAGGAAAAAACCAAAGTCAATTTGTGTGATTTGGGCCAAACATGAACCCATTAAATGTCAAAGAGAAAGCCCTTGGGAGCACTGAGAGTTCAAACCAGGTGGAGCACCTGGAATGTTGGAATGTTGGAATGGAAGGAGTGTGCCCAGAGGCCCAGGGGAACGAGCTCCCTGTTGGAAAAGCTGACCCAAAGTCTAAAGAGACAGTAAATATAAATATTAGCAAAATATACGATCTACGTACCCAAATAATGCTCGTGAACCAGGATAACTTCACAGAGACCAGACTCCTCAGAATCCAGAGGTAAAATTCCTGAAAGGAAGGGAACACACAGGAATGTGTGAGTGTGTTAAAAAGCTGGAATAGAGCAGAGAACTGAAGGGCAAACAAGGCACTGAGGGTAGGCAGAGAGGGCACACCCAGAGCAGGCAGAAATAAAAAGATCCCCATCCTGGTCATGGCAGAGCTTTTCCCTCCTCTGGCCACAGGAGGTTCTGGCATCCAATCAACCTCCTCAATGAATGTCCCCTTCACCCCAGGGAAAACCATCTCTTCTTCCCCAAATCTTACACTCCATTGAGACCTTAAATCCTCAGCAAATTTGGCTGCTACTTCCAGTCTTTCCTAATTCCCAGTAAAAATGGCCACCCTACAGTAACTGTACACACCTGCAGCTCTCTCCAGGGTTTATCCATGGAATTATCAGTCTATGGGAGCTGCCAACAGCAGTTCCTGTGCAAGGAGGAGATGAAGCAGGAAGGGCCACAATCTCCAAACACACATTCTTACTGTCCACTCTGTCCCACCTTCAGAACTTCAGCCATCCCCTAATCCTTTAATTTAGCACACAAAATATAAACAGGTCTGAAAGAATGTCCCTAAGAGACATCTCCCCTCTCCTAGAGCACCATCCACATTTTGGTGGTTAATACAATATCGTATTTCAAATCCTAAGAGAAACTTCTTGAACAGGATTCTCATTTGCAAGAGTTTGTTCACGTGACACCAGTTGAATCTTTGAAAACACAGGTCAGATTGAGCTTTAATAGTTCTTATCACCTCAGCCATTTGCTGTAAAAAGATTTCTGGTTGTGTCAGTTGATGAGGCCAACAGGCATTGACTTACCCACCACTTCATCATCCGGCTGGAAAAAGGTCACCTTGCTCCCAACTCACCAGGAGAGGAGGGGGGAAAGGAGGGAAAAAGAGAAATGTTTATAGTGAAATGGAACGTGCTTCTCACTACTCACAAAACTACAAATACACTGCTAGGGAAAACAAATAATTTATTAATTACACACACCCCACCCAAATTCAACCCAAATGTTGAATCCCCTAAACTTTGGCACCTCCTCCACAGAAAGTCCCATGCAGGGACACTGAGAGAGCCAGGCTGGAACTGCACCCACAGGTGGATCCCCAGGGCAGCAGATGCACTGTGAGAGAACTTCCTGCCATAAAGGTGTCCTGTACAAACAGGATTTATGTGTTCTGGATGGCCAGCCCCAATTCCTGCTCCTAATTCCTGCTCCCCCTCCCCAGACAATGCCACTGCCTCACCTTCCAGCACCACTCCAGAAATCTCTCGTCCCACAGGCACGAGTTCCTTCTTCAGCTTAATTTCTGACAGAAGCTAAATTAAAACAGTGGTTACAACACTTACTGAGGCTCCATATGTGCATATTTATATCATCTTACAGTGTTTGATCATCCCAGGAAGGAGGCTGGGCCATTCCCAGAATGTTACCCAGGGAAAACAGGACACACTTTCCTCAATTCACGTTAAACCTTGGCACTGATTTTCTGTATTTAAATTCAGAAGCATTTAAAAAATAAAAACACAAGGTTATTACCAGGCAAGACAACCTGGGACTGGGGAGTGCAGGGGAAGATAAGAGGGGTTTCCTGCAGGAGAACTCCCATGTGCCAGCTGAGCTGTCCCCATGAACGACACCCCAGTTACAGCTGCTTTTGATTTAGAGACATGCAGGAGCCCCCCAGCAATGCTGTGCCTCTGCACAGGCTCAGATGGCAGAGATGGGACTGGGCCAGTCCCCAGCCAAGGCCCTGGAGACCACAAACACCCCCAGCTTTCACCAAACCCCAGGGAAATACCTTTGTGTCCACCCAGCTCAGGGCACAGGCCCTCACTTGCACCTTCACCTCGTGGTCCCCGGGGGGAGGAAGGTTTTCCTAGGACAGATTTACAGGTGTTACATTGTGCAGTGAGCAGGAATGTGCTCCCAGGAGCCTCTCCACACATTCCCATGGCCCCTGCTCAGGCTGTTCTGCAGGCAGAACAAGAATGTTTCCTCAATGAAAAGGGATTTACCTCCCCATTTTGAGTACATGTGTATCACTATTATTATCACTGTTCTATTACTGTAATTCTCACTATGACACTACCATTATTATCACTATTATATTCCTGCCATTTTGCAAACTGGTCACCAGACACTGCCATTATTTTTCTGTTGGGTTTTTTCCTCCTTCTCTGAGACTCAAATCCTGACAAAGCCACTGAGGTCAATATTCCAACGGTCCAAATGATGCCAAAGAAACAGTCCCACAAGTGGTGGCTTCCCCCCTTGCAAAAATGTTCAACTAATGAGGCCCCCCCTTCCTGTTTCACCTTTTGGGTTTGGGATTGATACCAGAAATGATCTGAAGGAGTTCAGTGCTGCTCCTTTAGAGTCTTCAATGAGCCATGTTGAATTCTGTGGCTCCAGAGAGCTCCTGAAGAGCTGCCCCAGGCACTGGAGCACAATCCTGTTCTTCCATGGTGGGTGTGTGCTGGAATTGTGATCCCAGTCTCCACTGAGAGCCAAGAACTCCCAGGAGGAAAGGAAACACCAGCAGCAACACTCCAAACCTGATCATTTCCTCAAGCTCTGTTTCTACTTTTCCAGTGACCAGAAAATCCAACCAGGAGATGTGGACACAGGGTGAATTTTTCAGGCCTGCAGAGCTTGTTTTCAAAGCTTGGACACGAAAATTGCAGAGAAATCCAGCACTTAGCAAGCACTGCCTGATGATAAAATACACCTCTCCTACCTTCAGCCCCCTGTCTGTGTGTGCAGGGATTCTACCAGTTCTTTTTCAAGCCTAGAGGAGATTGAAGTGCTTCAATTCCCTGGTGGCATTCAGCCAAACTCCTTCCTCCCTCTGCCTGATTAATGGAGCTGTTGTGATGGGAACTCACTCTTTCCTGGAACACAAAAGTCATTTCCTCTCCAGGTGAATTCTGCTGCCCAAACAAGGCCTTCATAGCGACCTGAACAAACACACAGAGACCACACTGTGATGTCTGAATGTCCAGAGAGCAAACAGGTCATTAAAGCCTTGTTAAATTAAATAACTCAAATCACTCCATAAGAACAACAGCAACTGTTTGCAGGCAATTCGAGTCTCTGTCATTCAGAAGTTTTAAACCAGATCAACAGATGAGGCAACACGTGGTGTCACCTGCAAAAGGTTTTGTTAAATAACACAGCAAATCCTCAGGGCTGAGAATCCCAGAATCATGGAATGCTTTGGGTGGGAAGGGACCTTAGAGCCCACCCAGTGCCACCCCCTGCCATGGGCAGGGACACCTTCCACCAGCCCAGGTTGCTCCAACCTGGCCTTGGACACTTCCAGGGATCCAGGGGCAGCCACAGCTTCTCTGCCCAACCTGGGCCAGGGCTTCCCCACCCTCTCAGCCAGGAATTCCTTCCCTATATCCCATCTAAATTTCCCCTCTTTCAGTGGGAAGCCATTCCCCCTCGTGCTGTCCCTGCAGCCCCTCTCCAGCTCTCGTGGAGGCTCCTTCAGGTCTAAAGGCAGTCAGTGGCACACAGGAATCCCCGCTGGGTGCCCCCCGGCAC